AATTGCAATATTATTACAGCCTAGATTATGGTATCTCTGTTTTTCAAATATTTATTTTCCTTCTAATAAAAATTGTTTCGAAATTTGGAAAGATTCCTGTAATATAAATCTTTCGTTTTGCTTATTGAATTTTCACGTTCTGGCTGCCAATCTGAATGATTTGTAGGATTGACAATAAATATGCTAAGTATTAATAAGTTATAATCTATGAAATCTTAACCATCAAATTATGAGATGCATTTGTTACCTGGAAAATATGGTTCTAGTAGTTCAATCAGGGGAGCGATTGAAAGTTTGGCTTCCTTAATATTTTATTAAATTCACGTTTTGCGTACGTCACCGTATCTAGGTAAATTTTTAAACTAAACAAGAAATTTATCTTAAAATAATTCCGTGTAAAAAAAGTTATTTTTAATAATTAACTATTATTCTATTGGCGAAAAAAAAAATTAATTGTTTGTAAGTCGTGCTAATTTTTACCGCGATTTAAACTGCGATACTAAATGACAAGATATAAAATTTTATCAAAATTTGTCTCCAAATGCAATAAAAATCAAGTAGTTAAAAATTCGAATTCAATACAATACAATATTGTCTTTTAAAAAACTAGTTTTATAAAACCCTGCTAAAAACTAAAAATCGCTTAGAAAGTTCCTGAAATTATTGTGAAATATGCTAAAAGTGAAATTGAAATTATCATTTTGGTACTCTTATTTGGTTGAATGTTCAAAAACCCTTATTTGACGAAATAAAAACATGTATATGCTGAGGAAGTGCGTTTTTCTTTTTCTCTTATTTCGTAATTCAAATTGGCATGCATACATGAGGTCAACCTTTCGAAGATCGAAATTTGAATTGAATTCGTGAAAATCCCAATCAGTAGGACATAAGTTGTTACTCAAGGTTTCTTTTTTCCCTCACTTCCCCTTATTTTTATCTTTTTTATGGCGTCCGTCCGTAAGTTTGAAATTGATATTATAAAAATGGAAAAATAATTGATAAAATTTAGCTTTCTGATAACTATAATTGGACGGGAAAAATTATTAATATTTTTAAAACATAAATAAGTTAAGTCATTATTGAAAAATAATCGAAACTTAGCTGTATTACCGGTATGGGGTAAATGGGAGAAAAAAAACTAACAGCTATTATAAAAAAAAGTGTTGAGTTAAATACAAGAGAAATGGGGGAAAAAAACTTTAATGCTAAAGTAATGTTATTCGAAAAAGTGAGTCCGTAAAATGTTAAGAAATATAGTCTATCGGAACCACTTTTAAAAATTCTGCGTTATCATAAAAAATAAATAAAAATTTATACAAGAACGAAACAGGAAAAATAAAAATCAATCTTCATTTTTGAAAGAAAATTATAAACCTGAACATCTCAGTTTTCTAAAATCCGTATTTTCTAGAAAAAGTGAATCAAAAGAATGAAAATAGAAACTTCTTAATTGTCGCGTCATAATAAAAACTTTGATAAAAATCTAGATTGTAACCAAAACAATCATTTTTAATTTTTAAACTTTAAAAAAAAAACTTTAAAATCTAAATTTCTCTTTTCCACAAAAGTGAAGACGTTCATAAAAAACACTCATTAAAGAATGCTGTGTCATAATAAAAATTTTGGTTAAAAGAAAAGTAAGAAAAGCAAAAGAAGAACAGAAAAAATTGTTCTTTCTTAAAATGTAACTTTAACGTAGAAAATCAGTTTTCTTTATTACCGATCTTAGCATACAGGAAAAAAATGCTGGTAAAAGAATAAGTCTGTTGGAAGCGCCCTGCTAAAATGCTATTCTATAATAAAAACAACAAAAAGAAAACTGCGAAATTGGTGTTATACCACTGAGTATAATTTTAAAAAAATATATAATATAAGCAACGCAAAACTCTTTGTTCAGTATTAATCTAGTTTCAGTTCTTCAAATTTCGATTTTCCATTTGTCTTTCAGAACATAAATTTGGAAGTTTTAGAACTTAACATATATGAGTAAAAACTATTTATATTAATGTATAGTTTATAGGTCCTATAAATTAATTATACGGTATCAAATTCATGTTGTACAAGTTTTAATTTTTAAAAAGCACTTAATCATTTAGTATTCTGAATGCAACCGACCCCAAAGTCTAAGACTTAGCCCCATAATGAATATGCTTAGTGTTTAAAAAAGTAAGGAAAACTAAGTGCTTATGTTTCGTTGTTAAATTTGGGTTGAGCATTGAAAAGGCGCATTTTTGCTTTCCAATTTTTTAAACACGCATTTTGAACTGTCTATTTTTTTAAATACTCATTTTTGAGCTGTGTTCCGAATAAATAATTATTTTAAGGGTCAAGAATATCCCAGTTTTCCAATTTGTCGCTTATCCAAATTTTGAGAATCGAAGAATTCAATAAGTATATTTTTTTGTTTCTGATATTATTCTATACCTATAAGATGACACTAATTGTCATATTTAAAACCAAAAATTGTGTGTAATCTGACAACTAAATCAAAAGTTATTCACTGTGTTTTTTTTTTTCCTCTCCTTAGTTTATTTTAACGTTTACTTCACGTTTGACAAACTTACTTCGAAATTAAAATTTTCAACACATTTTGACAGTCAAAGAATCGAATGGGAAAGATCCTTATCATTCGAACTAGTGTTTTTGTTTACGCTACTATTCTATACCTAATAGATGGCGCTAATTGTCATATTTCAAAGCCAAAAATGTCGTATATGAAAATCTGACAACTAAATCAAAAGTTATTCGCCATGGTTTTTCCCCCTTTCTGTTTATTTTAACTTATACTTTACGTTGGCCAAATTTTTAAATAAAATTTTCAAAATTGTGTATAATTCACGTTTTAGAGGCCTTTCTATAAGTTGAGACCGATAGATGGACATTATTTAAATTTATTATCTTTATTGTGAAGATTTATGTTTTTCTAAAAGACTTGTAATCCCAAAAGGTTTTCCTCCACTAAAATTTTTTGTCATCCTCTTTTCTCATTTAACCATCTTAAGTTTCATGAAAGTTAAAAAATAAAAAAAATTTCTCAAACAAGAAAGGAAGGGAAGATGGTAAAAAGTAAAATGCCATTATGTATTCCTGTTTATTTGATGCCTCTCTACCAAAAGGAGTTTTGCATTTTTCTGAATGTCTTCTAAAATGAGATGCTTGCTCATTATGATATTGATTTTCTTCAACTGCACAATGTATTGATCTTGAGTTTTCTCTTTCCCCTTCCTAAAAAAAAAATAATAAAATGGGGTTGGAAAGGGGTTTCAAATTTGCTTGTCATTTTCTTCTTTCTCTCTCTCTTTTTAATCTCATTTTCTTCTGTTTTGTATTATTGGCTCTATTTTTGAAGAAAAATAGTCAATAGAATTTTAATATCCCTCTTTGTATTTCAAGACAGTGTCTTCAATCTGTCTGGTTTTTAATATTTTGTTACTGACTACGTTTTTCTGTAATGTTAGAATTTTGAGTTTTTTTTTTTAATTAAGATAAAAGTTTATATTTTGTTGCATAAAATATTAAAGATTTTACAAAGAGTGGCAGGATTTAAATCAACTGGTTTAATAAGTCAAGACATATTTATGCAAAATTATTATTATTATTTTTTTTTTTAAATTGTTTCAAAGCTTTATTTTTTTGATAATGATGGTTTATAAAGGAACTAAAAAGAAGGTACTGTATTAGAATATGTTCATTGTTGTTCTAAATAGGAAGCAGATTTTAAGTTTATGTAAAACTGGTGTAAAAAAAAACTTTTAAATTATAATTTTTTATTAGCTGTATGTCTACAGAATATTTTGATGTTCAAGTCATAGCTTTTAATATTTTTGGAATGATAAAAAGGACTAAAAACTTTCAAATGGCTGTATATATAAGTGTATTTAGAGTAGTTAGTATTTGTATTAATCCTAATTATTTTATAATGAGGAATAAAGTGGTTTTTTTTTTTTTTATGTAATGAAGTTGAAAGCATCAATATGTTTATAATACTTCATTAAATAAAATAATATATGCTTATGATATTTTAAATGAATTTTAAATATTCTTTCTTCTATAATATAAAGATTGTATTTTGCAAATATTAGAATCATAGAAATTAAGAGAGAACATAAAAAAAGAGAACATAAATAAAGTTTCCCATAAAAATTCCCATTTATGCTTTTGATTCCTGTAAGGTTAATATATTATTGCCTTTTGATTTTAACTTATCAATTTGATATTTCTAATTTTAAAAACTAATGGAACATAAAATTTGTGATCTGATTTATTTTAAGCTGTTTTTATGACTTTAAATTTTGTTGACATTATTTTTAATATATATTTGTGCAGAAGCACAATGATATATAAACATTTAAAAATTGCTTAATAGTGTTTATTCAAAGTAACACAGACTCTCATATCGTTATTGAACTCAAAATTGTAAAGAATTTTAAGGAAAAATTTATTTATTTTGTTATAGTCAAAGCATTTAAATATAGAAAATTAAACTAAGATTTATTTGCTTTCCAAAAAAAGTTGGACTTTTTACCCTGACAAGATGAGATATCGGATTATTTTCTAGATACTTTTTTTAATGAAGACTTATTGGTATATTAGTGCCCCGATTCTTTATTGTAAATTTCTTAATTTTTGCCAAAAATTTATAAATTCTTTAAAAAATTGAATTTTTTACTTTAAAAGAATTTTCTATGATAAAAACATTTTGAATTAAATAAATTTACGAATACTTTAATAATTCTAAGATTTAATAAAATTTGAAATTTTGTTGACAACTTACCTAGTTTTCTCTTCATATTTGGCCAATCTCCTTGGGTATTAGCTCTTTTTATCACCATATGTTGGTATTATAATACCCCAAATTTTCTTTTTTATCTTAAGATGGTTTACATATTTTTTTTAAAAAAATGTCATTCATCAGATTTAAAATACTTTATCATTGATGCACTTATTTAACTTGATTATTCAAATTGTTAAACTGTTCATAACAAGTATTTTAATTATAGGTATCAAGAACAATTACCAAAAATTATTCAGTCTAGAAAACCGCCTCACATAGTTCATGAAGAATTAATTCAAATTGTAAAATGGAAATTAATGGTAAGTCATAAAAATCATTTATATTACAATATTTAAAATTCATTTGAATCCATTTTAAATCTTAATTTTATTTCCTTCCAGCGTGGAAAATTCCGTCCAAGATTAACGGATCTAGTCCGTATCAATACGGAAACTGCAGTTTTGCAAACCAGCAAGAAAGCTTTCAGAAAAAAACCATCTGAGTTATCCCAAGCGATAACTGCACTTACCAATTTAAAAGGAGTTGGGCCTGCTACAGCATCTGGTGAGAATAAGACATAAATCTTCCTTATGTGTTACATTTTTTCAGCACACTAAAAACCAGTATAATTACAGTTTTAGTGAGCTTTATTCTAAGAAATAAACTGTTACCTGCAAAAATTTATAAGTGTCCAATCTGGCTTGTTTAAATGAATATTGAATGAATGACAAATTTTAAAAAATGGTTGATAGCATACACCAGGCTAAACTAATTTAAACTCTGATACAAAGCTTATTCAAAACAGACACCTATTTAAAAAAGTTACTAAAGATCTGAACAAAATTAGTGTATTTTCTCTCAATCAGGATTTAAGTTCAAAATAGTAATAAAACAGTGTGTAGCATTTTTAATAAGGTGCTTTTTTCCATGGGTGTTTTTAAAAAGTGCTTAATTTTCCCTTTTCCGAAATGTGATATTTTTCTTTACCATGTTGATTTTCGCCAGAAATTATGCAAAAAGACATCGTCCTATTCAACGGCAATCTATTTTGGCATACCGCTGGTCTCTAGTGGATGAAAACACCTTTTGTTTTGCATGTTTGGTGAAATACTTGCGTATACTGAGCTGGATTCAGTGGCAAGGATTTTTGACCCTGCTGCATTTTGCAAGACTAGTCTCACTTTCAGACTTCATTTTCCTCTCTCTTTAATAGGATCAAAAAATATCTCGAATTTTTGCTGATCACGGGAACTAATTAAACATTGTCTTTTTTTCCCTCTATTAGCAATAGAAAATTTGATTTCTCTTGTTAATTTCATCGTTTGTGACGCGCCATCGTCTTTGTCATTGTAAATAAAACCTTCAATTGCCGAAAGCATGCATACCCTGTCTAATTATGATATTTTTCAAAATGCTTAAAAATATTTTTTGAGTGCTTGAAAAGTGCTTAACAGGTACTTATTTTTTGTTGCAAAATTTGGCTACCCACCCTGTAAAAAAAAAAAAAAATTATAAAGCTATGAAAATAGAATTTAACACTTCCGTTTCTGGATACAATATGTAGTTCCTTCCTAACAGAAGCCATGCAGCTGGGGCTACATATTATTTGGACATCTATCAATAATTTTCAAACTTTTTTTATTTTCAAAAAAAAATAAAGGTCAGTCTCTGTGATTGTATGGGAATGAATTTCTTTTGAAGATTTAAATAGAGTTAATTAAAAAATCCAAGTTTGTCTTTAATTAACCAGAATATTTGGTATAAATTATAAAAATTTTAACTGTATTTAGTTTTTTCTATAGATGCAACACAGATGAATTTAAAAAATAAAGTTAATGTTTATTAGGATCTTTTTTTAATATAATTTTTATCTACCTTAAGTTAACAAATTTTTCTATGTATTTAATGTTACTGTAATTTTTATCATTATCTGTTATACTATGTTTGTGTCACTGAAATATTCATATTTTTGAAGTTAATGCTGCAGTTCGGCTAAAGAAATTTTGCTACCAGGCTTTGTTTACTATTCCTTAAATCAAAATCATTATATTTTGGCTCTTTTCATAATGAGTTTTTAATTAAGTGTTGAAAACTGATTCAAGTATTATACATCAGACTTGTATAATGTTCAAAAAAAAATGTAAAAGGAGTTAGAATGATATTTGTAATGCATTTCAAATTCATATTAAATTTAATGTGTAATAATTGTGTTGAAATTACTAATTATGTCTTTGAAAATGTATACACACTTCAATTGATGTAATATTCTGTTTATTGCAAAGTGTTTCATCATTGAATACATATCTTTTTTCATTGTTATTTTCTAAAATTTAGAATTTGACCTTGTTAAAAATAATAAATTTTAAAAAAACTCTTAATTTAATATCATGAATTGTTTCCAATAAATATATTTAAAAAATTCCGCTGTTTAAAAATAATTAAACTGTTAAAAGTTATCTTTAATAAAAGTTGACTGTTTAGACTTGAAAAAGAAAGAAAAATCAGAACTAAACTGACAATGATCAACACTCAGTACATGGGACATGTTATAGACATTTACACTTAGCATTTATTTGCAGTTTTAAATTGGTGTTGTATGGTGGTTTGTTTTACCACCTCTCAGCTTTTTCAGAATTGCTGAATTTTTATAATCTACTCAATATTCTCTTACTTGCAGTGTTGGAAATGCTTTGGTCCAATTAATAAATTTTAAAAACACAGTTGTCCATAAAATAAAAATTAAAATTTTGAATTAAAGTGTTAGAATCTATATACAGTAGTTCTTTATAATGCAAACCATGAAACAAGAGGTGATCAATCTTAAAATACTTTAAAAATAATTTTTTGATACAAATGCATAAAAATACAAAATATGCATTTCAGTATTTAATATTTATGGGAAAATGTAAATTTTCTGCTGCATTAGAACTTATAACAAATTGTTTTTGGTTTGCTTAGTTTTTCAACGTGTTGACTTTTTAAGCAAATAGTTTAACAAACATTAAAAATTTAAAAGGTTACTAGCCCTAGCTTAGTTATAGGAATTTCTTACTTGTAAATTTCCTGTGTACACCCACAAAGCTAGTGTGGTTTGTGAAGAATTAAGGTTTATAGAATTCTATTATATAGATCTTCTACTCACATCTCTTTCTCTTTTTATTTATGTATATTTAAAATATTAACATGAAAAAATATTTAAGTTCTTTTGATTTTACTTAGTTCTGTTTGCCTTGAATAAATAAAATCAAAAGAACTTAAATAGATAAATTTAAAGATAAGTAAATTTTAAATTTATTTATTATTTTGATTTCATTAATATACTTTTGTTTCATTAGTTTTGCTTAATTTGTTTTCAAATTAATATATTTTTTTTTTTTGTTCAGCACTTACAATAAAAAATTAATTAAAAAATTCATTTGTTATTATATATATATATATACATACATATATATTTTAATCTTAAAGTTGGCGTACATTGAAATTTAACATGATATGTATAGTTCGTTCACCAGGAGTTAGCACTTGGCTCTACCTCCTCGGACGCAGAGTTCATTTCAGCGCGGGAGTAAGAGGAGAAACATCTCTGCACTAGAAAATAAGACAACCCTTAATGCTCTCCAAACGCAAACAAATTCTTTTTCAGTCACTTACTTCGCTTTATCATCTGCTATTATACCTTTTGTTACTCTAGCTAATTAAATATATTTTAAATTTAAAAACTGCTATTATCCCAGCAAAATGTCTCAAAAGGGACAAACTATTCACTCAGAAGAGAGAAATATCAAATTAAAGACATATTTATAGTTAACAAAATACACTTAAAATTTGTGAAATAAATATTTTTGTCAAATGATTGCCAAAGTATCGTCGGATACCACGTGATGAACGTGGAGTCAAATCCCTACTCCTGGTGAACGAACTATAATTGTAACTCTATACTACTTCTACTTTTTGTTGCTCCATTCATTCTTAACATTAAAGCTTTAATGATAGTTTTTAATTATGATATGATGAATTGATTTCTAGTTCAGAAAATTCTGGTTCCTTTTCTAAATTTTCCTTCAGACTTGTTTTAGCGTTTTATATGAGTTTGTATTTCACTTACCTGAGCTAATAACTTTCCTCGACCACTTATAGCTATTCTAGCTGCTGCCTTTCCTGATAATGTTCCATACATGGCAGATGAGAGTATGTTGTCTACACCTGGTATCGAAGCCACCGATTATACATTAGCAGAATATCTTAATTATGCTGAGCATATCAAGAAATGTACCGAGCGCCTTCAAAGTTTGGGTTTGTATTAAAATTTTTAAACTTTTTTGTTTGTTTTCCTAGTTTCAAAGAAGCAACTTACTCTTTTTGTTATGCTGAGGTTTTTAGTCTCTGCAACAAGATTGTGAGCAGACNCGCCTTCAATCTTCGTTTTGAAAACTTACAACACATATAGATTTAACAACAAATTAAGAAAAACATAAAAAATATCTAACAAGTTTATTATAATAAGTGTTAAAGTTGAAATATGTCGTGTAAAAGTAACACACGTAACGAAAGAATCGCCCTACTGCTTGAATATTTAAAATTGGAAAACTATTTCTAATAATAGTATTGATGAATTGAATACAGTTAAAGCTTGATATCTCAAAAATCTGAATTTTCTAATCATTACTATTCTGATTATAGAAAAAAAATCTTTTAATTGAATAAGTTTCTCATTTCATCTTTATTTCTCAAAGAATTCTACTCAAAAAATTTATTGTAACAGTTCTCATCAATTAAGGTTTTCCTTGAATAATATTGAGATTTGCGTATTCCTTTATATAATTATGGTTTAAAGAATAATAATTCATAAAAGCAAATAAAACTAAAAGTATAACATAAAGCAAAAATCTTAAAACAACTCAACAAGACAACTTAGAAAAACTCTCCCAGCAGCCTTTGAAATACTAGGTCCTGTGCTTCCAATTTTTAATCTATAGAATGAATTTGGTTCCTTGTCTATAGAAGTCAATATGACAGGTATAAGTATTTTGCAATTTAATTTATACATTAGAATAAGGCATTTAAAAAAAATATTAAAATTTATGCCATCAGTGAAAAAAGATAAATTCAGTAAAATCAGTCTTGAAAGTAAATTTTTTTTTTTTCTCCTTGTGTCAGGGCTCGAAAAAACTTTACCGGTCCCTGAGGTCGGCTTGTCCAACAACGAACCCGTCCTCCTTTGAAACTAACCCCCGTAGCTTCTAAATAAATGAAAAATATTATTTTCTCCTATTCATTACAAACATTTATATAAATTGCGCAATGAATTAGTAATCACTAGGATTACAAATACTATGAATACATTATACAGTAGTAAAAGAAATACTAGTATATTAACAGTAACCTAGTATTTCTTTTATTAAATAATTTAAATGACAAAGGTCAAGTTATCTGGAATGTCAATTTATCCGAGGGTACTGCGTTTTTTAAATGAATCAAATATGACGTTTGACAGTTCCGCAGTCAAGCCAATGAAATACGGAGGTTTCTGCACAGAAATCTGAAAGGGGTTTTCTATTTAGGTAGATGTTCATAATTGCATTTAACGTTTCTTGTTTAAGACCAGTACGTAATGTGTTTTTTTTTGTAAGTTCATTGCTGAAAAGCCCCCTTTCGACCGCTGCAGTACTCCCAGACATAGAAAACATCAATTCCACCATGCGCAGTATGTTGCTGTATTATGGGTCATTTTTCTGCATTAGATCTTAATAAATAGCTTGGGCTCAGAGCGCTGAAGTTTTCTGTGTTTAACAATGTTATGTGTCTTAAATTTTAATGACACCCATTCTTGAGAAAAAATTTCTTTATCTACTCTGATTAGAGGGTCATTTTAGAAGTGAGGCGCTAGACTCTTGTAAGATAACTAAAATTGAAAATGTATCATGACAATTTATGGGAAAATGGCCTTCCGTTCGGATGTCTGATTCGAGAAATTCGTTGACCGCCGAAGATGTGCGGTTTTTCGAGCCCTGCCTTGTGTGTTAATCGCCACCCTAGTTTTTCTTGGTAACTAACTTATATCTCATAACATGCAATTTATGTTTGTTTTTGTTAAAATTTGGAATAGATAAACTAAATAATTTGCTAGTTTAAACTTCTAAGTACTTAACTAATTCCAAAATTTCTAAGTTCTATGCTAAATTAAAACACGGTATTTATTATATATATAAATGTATCTTGCAATGATATTTATGTTTGTATTGTTTTGAGAAAGAAAATTTGTTGATTGCAGACCCTAAAAGTCATTGGACACCTCATAAAGTAGAGCTAACATTGTGGACCCATTATTTGGCCAGAGATCTAAAGCCATCCATTTTAGAAGGAATGCCCCATGCGAAGTCTGAGACCTCCGAAAATGGTGACCATGCTGATGATAATGCTATCGAAAATGGTAGTGAGCCTTCTTCTGAGGGTGTAATATCAAATCCTCCTGTTTCTACAGATGATGAGAAAGAGCTACCTTCAGAGGAAAATACCAATGATTCCCATGCTGACTCTGGCAAAGAGAATGTCGGAGAGTCTGCTGATGGTGCCGACGACGAAGAACCCGGCGATTCTGAAAAGACTTCTCCCGATGAACCTCCTGCCAAAAAGCTGTGTGTGGAGCAGTAATTCCGAGACTCTCGGCAATTAGTTTGCACAATTTTATTCAGGACTTGCAATGGTTTAAAAAATAAAACAGGGAAATTAAAAAAATAATAATAAACAAAAAAAACTCCTATTTTTATACATAGGCTTTCTTGTATTTTTGCTCTTCATCATCTGTGTGTGCCATTGTCTGAAATTATATTTATTGCATGTAAGTGTCCTGGTTGATTATGCAGATGCATTTTAAAATTTCTAATAGCTTTTTAATGAAATTTTAAAATTAGTTGCCAGCATGAATTCAAGTGAAAATTATTTAAACTTTATGTTCATTTCCCATCTTCGAAGTGTATACCTAAATGTATACCCTTTAATTTGTTACTGCACCGTACAGTAATATTTTTTACATTTAATCTTAATGTAGATTTTTTCTATTAAAGTTACTATTAAGTCACAAAAGAGACTTTATTCAATGTCTTTCTATTAGCCCTAGAATGATCTAAAGCATTGATCATAGTATTATTTTTTAATCCAAAATCCCTTCTCAAATAATGTTATTTTGTCCAAGCTTTAGAATTGATTATTTTCAGCTTTTCCTGTTAAGTCTTGGTTTTAGATACGTGGTTTCGGATGTGAAACATCCCAAAATCATTCTGGGGTTAATCTTTGTCAATGTTGTCTTGAACATAAGTCATAAGACTATAAATGAGCAGTGTAACCTATTTATAATACGTATTTTCAAATTTAATAGCTGTAACTTTTTGACATCAAATTTACTTGTATCATATCTTTAAAAGTGTTTCATTTTTATGCTTGAAATTTTTATTGGATACAATTCCTTTTCCTTAGATTTTAAAAACGTAAGGATCTATTTATTATCCTTTTTTTTTATATATATTAAGTTCCTGCTATTTATAAAACAGCCTATATAGGAGTTCATTGAATTATGAACCCAATTTGAATGGTGTGTAAGGAAATTAAATTTAAATTGGACCAATATATTGAGTATTAGTTGTTGGGAAAATCTTATTTTTATTTTATAAATTAAAATTTTATTGCAATATTAAACATTGTAATGATTGATTACATATATATATATATTTAGTGCTCAAAGGTATAAATAATGTACTTAATGTTTTGTGAATGAAAACTTTTCTCTTCAAGAAATATTTGTTATTTTTTTATGAGATTTAGAATTATGCATTATGTCTCTGTTCCGCTTAAATGTTAACCCTTTCATTTGCATATGTACATACATATATATTCATTTACATATGTACTTTCTCAAAATTTGCTGACATAAATCATTGTTGCAGCTTGACAAGATGGTACCTGTACCTTATTAATTAGTGGTCTTGGATTTTGGCACTTCTCAATCTAAAAATTATATAGGCTATTAATATTTCATTCTATGCTTACACAGCCCAAAGTATATCATAAACTTTTTATGTGTGTCGGTGTTTTTTCTTATTAACCTGATCTTTTTGTCTGTACTTTTCAACTTGTACTGACAGCTAAATTATGTGCATTTGCATAGAGCTTATTTAAATAACATCTGGTCTTGGTGAATTAATTCAAGTGTATTAGATATGACTTTGTGAGTCCAAAGACAGCCAGTGAATACCACTGCCTTTATTTAATTTAGCTGCAATCTTGGGAGTTTCCCGGATTTGAGATAGCTATTCTATTTTAAATTTATTCTTTTGCTTTGTTTCATGTTTTTATCATTTCATTGGCTTGAAGATTGCTTTTATTTTCCACTTGTTCTGTGTAGAATTGGGCACTAAATTGGTTATTCTGATCAACAAATTGAATCTTTCTTAAGCATTGCTTTGAATCAGTTTATTCAAAGTAAAAATTGATTTTAATTCCAATTAGAACATCTGTTATGTTACTTTTGTGTGAAGTATTAAACTAATGGTCACAACTCTAAGGATGTAATAACTTACCCCCCCCCCTCAAAAATAATTTCTCCATAGAAGATGAAGGCAGAAAACAAAAGATTTGGTAAAAATGAGAAATAAAAAGAATCTTTTATTGAGAACTTATACAGAAAATATTCAAAGAAGTGAGCACCTGGTGCAATAAAGGCTTCACATTGGCGAGAAGGTGAAAAATGCAGTGATCAACATTTATCATCATTCCTGACATTTAGCATCAGTAATGCATAGCTGCCACCAACCCTACTGGATTTTGCTGTTTCTTTTGGTGTGCTAGTTTAATAAAAAAAAACTTTAAAATTTTCTTTTAAGAAAATTCCCTACATCCTATTCCCTTTCCTAGGAAAGAATCACTATCGAAATAGAATTTTTACACAGTTTATTGCATTCTTGTATATTTAAAAATAAGTATTACTAATACATAATGAAAGCAAGCCTCATTTTTACAAATCAGTTAAAAGCTTTTTTTTTTTTTAAAAAAATTAGATTTATTTTTTAAAACTACTTTTTTAAATTAAATATAAAAATCTTTTGAACCTTTTCTGCATTAAAATATTGCTGCATATCTTGCTATAATTAGCAGTTTAATTTCAGGTCCTACTAAAAGCAAAGTATTCGTTCACTCAAGGAAAAGTGCCCTCTTGTGGCACATATGATTAACGTCTCCCTACATTGTGGTGTGGAAGTTATATCAGCCCTATAGTTCTTACCATTAGTTTTTTTAACTTCCTGTGCAAGTTAATTTAAGACTTGGTTCACTGATCATATTTTAAATGCTGAAATGAACGGATTCATTTGATTTAAATCACTTTGCTGATTACTTTTGCCCAACTCTAGTTCTGTGTGTCTGTCGTATAACATTTAAAAACAAAAAGATCTGTTTAGTTTGTCATCACTCTTTGCTGATCAATTATTTGTTGCAGATTCTGTGGCAGCAATATGCACACAAGAAAGCATTCCAAACTGAAAATAGATAATCTTCAACAATGGCACATTCCATTGTAGATGTTTTCACGTGTAATTGCTATATTCTTTTTTTCAATAATGTGTGTTCTTTGATTCTGTTTGTATATAAAAAGAAGTAATGTGGTTCTCAAAGTTTTATATATATATATATCAATCTATATCTCTTTAAAATATTGCTTTTTGACTTGAATGCCACTATATATTCCTCTTGATAGTTGTGACATATTGAAAACCCGAGCAATTTTGCTAGATTTTGAAATATTATTTTTGGCACTTTGAAACAATAAATGAGAGTCATCTCTGTTGTTCGGCTCGGGTAGTAGTCACAGTGCCAAATATAATATTTTTGAAAACTTGCAAGTTTCTTCTGGTTTGATGTTAGTGTTTATGGTTTTCTAATTCAGCCTATCACTCAGTTGTGGTTTCATTTTTTACAAAAAGTGGTGTTGGAATGTAAGTTTAGATGATAAAATATGTTACTTAATCTCAGGAATTCCATGTTCACTATCTGCAACACTTGTAGTATTTTTAGATAGTATTCCACTTATATTTGTGTTTTTTTTTCCTTTGAATTATTTTTTTTAATTTTTCAAATTTTGTATGAGAAAGTGATTTCTAAAAACTTTTAATGTAAACTTCAGTCTGCAAGTGTTGAAATTTGCTCAGGAAATACCGATTATAGAATCACTTAGATGTTATTAGCAGTATAAAAATGTAAAAGTGTGCAATGTTGTTTACTGAAATTTAACTAATGCCACATAGCTGTGTTATATAACTTACGTTGTATAAATTGGTATTGTTCCAAGGTTTTTAAAGATATTTTCAATTTAAAATCTTTCAAGGCCTAAAGTATTCAAACTAGAAAATATAAATGAAAATAATTTTAAAATATGTTGTGTTTTGATTCGGCTAGTTTTATGATTATTTAATTAAACGAATAAAACAGACTATTTGGTAATGTAGCGTGTTAAATCTTTATTTTGCTAAATAAATTGAATCGTTAGTACAATATGAAAACTTAATTTTGAAATTCAACGTTAATAACTTATTAAGCTATAAGATTTGTATAAGAACATACTTTAGACATAAATCTGTTTGAAGTAATTTTTTTATTTATATATAGGCTACAAGAATTTTACTATCGCCTTGAGTATTTACTGTGAACAACTTTTTGGTAAAGTTTTAAAAGAAAACAAATTACCCTCTGCTATTGCTGTTCTTATTCAGAAATGTGCTAATGATTTTTATTAGAGAGATTACATTTAGATATTAAAACATGAATCTGTTATAAAGTTTGTTTTAATTGTCCTATTATCTTAATCAAAAGTCTGATTCTGATGTTTAATTCTGTCATTTTAAAAGTTAACATTTTATTTAATGTTATACCTTTAACTGTAACCTACATCTCTATGGAAAAAAAAACTTGTGATGGATTCCTCATAAAAAATTTTAGCTTTGAGAACCACTGTGAATTTGTATATTACAGTGTGAGTGTGTCTGTTTGTGTACACGTCCCATAATTTGAATAAATACTTTTTTAAGAACGAGATTGACGACTTCTGCTAATGATGACAAAATCCCTGAAACCAAGATCTGAAACAAACGGGTCATTGTAGTGCCCTTAATATAAAAGAAATGCCTTTTAATATGAAAAAAAAAATGCATAAAATGGAAGCCTTTACAATGATACCTCATTAGATTTTAAGCTCGAACTTTTCACACTGTTAGACATGAATGTTTCTGTGACGTTTTTAAGTGGTTAATTTTGTGTATCATTTTTTATCTTATTAGACTAAAGTGGACTTTCCTGAAAATTTTTTGAAATAAAATTTTCTTGAAGTGGAATGTTCTTTTGGTAGATAGACCTATTTATTATATTGGTTTAAAAAAAAAAGCATTTTATTCACTGTAGTGTTTATCAAAACTTTCCTTTCAGTGACTTTAGTTGTTCCTGCTACTGTTTATGTAAGATCAAGTTTATGTATAAAATAAACTGTTTCTATTATGTTTGTGGAGTTTTTATTATATTCGGTCATTTTTAGAGTATTGAAATTCTGATAAAGTTGTTTTTAATGTTAGAACAACATTTAATATGCTACTCTTTGCTTAACAATCCCTCAAACGAAAGCTTGTGCCTTAAGCATTGATATTAAAGATTTCATCTTCAATATGGAGGAAAACCATTTTTTTTTCTTTTAAGGATAAGTTTGTTAAATATCCATCATTATTTGGACTTATAATAGGCGATTATAATGAATTTCACCATGTTTTCTTTCAGATTTTTTTTTATTCCTTTAGACAATTCAGTGAGATAATATATTGAGTATAAAACTAAAGCTTTGAAAAGTTGAAACTATGACTTTTTATTTCCTATAACAGAAAATTCTTTACAAAACACCAGATTCCTCAGTGCAAAATGATTTAAAGTCTGGTGCTGTATGAATCTTTTTTATTAGAAAATTGTTTGCTCAAACAAAAGAATGTCAAATATTTATTGCAGACCATAGTAACTAGGTTCTGTTTTCCGTATAAATCTAAAATCCGATAATTCAAATACTGTGTAAATTTGCTTTGGAATGACTGCTTGGAAAATTTCTGACCCCCTCCCTTATCAGCTATTGCAAGTTAATTTGTGTTCATTAATAAATACTGACTTATATTGGAAGCCTTTAAAATTATAAAAACATAAATGAATCCCTGGTAAGTCTTACGTTGTAATAGTACTTTATTTACTTCGGACTAAAGCTGCTCAATGAGCTATTGGGAAACATTGCTGGGGATGATACAAAAACGTGCCAGCACAATTTTGATCCTCTTCGATGGAGATGGCTCCCTATGCTTAGTAGCCTGGCGACCTGAGTGCGAGGTCGAGCACTTGTTGGTAGAACAGTTAAACAAGGACTGATACCACGTAACCTTTGTTAATCTTTTTTTTATTGGAATAATTGAACAAAAAATCGCAACATCAGTATCTACTTTATTGTTCACTGTTAAAATTCAACAGATGAATTTTAAATGAGTTCAGAAAATGTTATATTTATAAATTTTTTTTTTATTTATTTTTTTTTTAATTTTTAACTACACTCTTACCTATATTTTCAATATAAAGCTATTTCCGGAGTTTTTCCTATTCGATATTAGTCAATTACCTCATTTATTATTCAATTCACCGTATAGTAAAAGTTAAAATAAATTGTTTTTTTTTTTTTACATTTATATATTAAACCGTTCATTATTTATTGACTACAATAAAAGTAAAGCATCTTGAACCCATTGTGGGCCACGAAGTTCATGGAGAAAAGTTAAGGCTATTAGCAATGTATGTCATCAATGCGCACAGTCAGGTTATTTTTACTTCTTAAACAAGCTCGCGTTCAAGCCGCCACTGGGAATCGAACACCAATTCAGTGACTTGACCAATCACGACTCATGGACTTGAGTATAAGATCGTTAAATCAGTAATATGCTGGTGGAAAAAAATGACATATCGTCAATGAATTAAATACTTTTATTTGGTTAAATTGGGAATTTCCTTCGGTAAATGGGAATTATCCCCTCACAAAAATAAAAGTTTGCGGTGTCCCTACATTCATTTAATAATAAAAAACAAAATATCATTTATTTTTTTCTTTCTTCAAGAATTAAATTTGTTTGCTGTTATAAATGAATTTTAATTTACTAATAGTTTTTTAAAAAAGAAAATAAGATATTCCTAAAATAGCAAGAGGCTGAAAATCAAATACATATTTATTTTTAAAATTTTCTAAATATCATGCTACTTCGAATGTTTTGAAATGCGTGTTACTGATTCATTCAGGCATTTCATAATAGGATTATGAAAATTTGAAATTATAAATAGTGCTTTTAGCCTTAGCGAACTAATAGTTAATAAGGGTTATTTAATTGATCAAAATTTTATAACTTACTATTTACAACTATTTTATTCTTTATAAACATATTATTTTTGATTATTTATTGTCATATATCATTATTTTATTTCATATTTGCAATTGATAAAATGCGCAACGTTATACTATTAAAATAGTATAATGTTTTAAAGTTACGCTAAGTCTCAAAATAATGAGTAATAAATAAACTTTAATATAAAGGTAGAATACATCAAATGAGCTTCCTAATTAATTTTTTAAATAGTCGTTAATTTACGTAGTAGTATATTTTTAAAATACTTGTTAGTTAAATAATCTGAAAGAAAAAGAAAAATAAAAAGATTTGAATAACAATTCAACAAAACTGCTCTTTTTATTTTTTTTTCTTCTTTCATGTTACTATGACTTTTTTTACACAATTGCAAGCTTATACATTTTACAAAATAAACAAATTAATCGTTAGTTTTTCAAAAATCATTTTCTTCTTTATAAGATTTTTTAAAATAAGTTACAATTTGCAAACATAAACAATGCAATATTTTTATTTTGAAATTAGTTAATTTCTCTCTTTTTTTGAAAATTTTGTTTTTAATTGATGTGCATTATTGAACTAGATTTGAAAAAAAATTCTCTTCAATTAAATTTTGGATTTTTATTACCCTCTTACATTGAACCCAACTCAGAAGACAATGGTGCCACGTAGTCACATTTTTTTCGTCATTTAACTATTTCATGTTAGAAATTTTAGTTATACAATTTCAATGTTGTCGCTCTAGCCATAAGAGTTATTCGGATTTTTTTTTATTTATTGTTATTATTTTTTTAAGTATTACAAATTCTTGTTAGTAGTTTGACTTGATGCAAATATTTGTAATACTTTTAATTAAACAACTTTCCAATTACAAAATACTCCCAATTGTTTTTATTTTTTACTCGATTTTTTTTTTTTTGTTTTGTCATTTACTCTTGTGTTAATAAATAAATTATTCAAAAGTTATTCCGAATAATTTCTTCATTTTTTTTTTCAGGTGTTGCAAAAGATTTTTTTTAAATTGGAACTAATCGCATCAAGTAAGATAATGTAAAATGTTATTTGATTAAAGCCAAAAAACGCTAGTATGAAAATAACCAATGAATATAACAAGTTATCTTTAGAAATACTTAGCTAATATTTAAAAAAGAATCTGAAAGCAAAGAGAACAAAATTATGCTTCAGTTTTTTTTCCTTCTTAAAAATTTGTAATTTATCATTTTTCTAACAATGAGTATTTTTAAAACTTCAAATGTCAAACAACAGATTATGAACTGAAAAAATTTCCTTAGTCAAGCATCATTTTAATACAATTTCTAAAAAAAAATTAAGAAAAACGTGATTTTGAAATTTTTTTATGTTAATTCTTAACTAATTTTATTCCTTAAATATTTAATTATTTTTAAAAAACAAATTTTTGAAGTATATCTTGCTATAGATATAGGATTAAAAGTATCTTTCTGTCTTAGAATATTTAAATGAAAATTTTTGTAATTTCAAAATATAAACAGAAAAATAAAGGAAAGAAATAAAACTATGTTTCTTAATTATACGAATTAATTTATCAGTAACTTTATAATAATTATCTTTAGTCACACAATATCATTACTGTTAGTCAAGGCATAAAGGTTGTTAGTGATTTTTTTTCCTTTTTNAATTTTTGTAATTTCAAAATATAAACAGAAAAATAAAGGAAAGAAATAAAACTATGTTTCTTAATTATACGAATAAATTTATCAGTAACTTTATAATAATTATCTTTAGTCACACAATATCATTACTGTTAGTCAAGGCATAAGGGTTGTTAGTGATTTTTTTTCCTTCTTTTTTTATTTACTTACAGATTCGTGTTATATAGTAGTTAAACACGATGCTAATATTTTTAATAGTTTTCAGTGAACAAATTTTTGTTTACAAAATAGTATTCTCAAATGTTTTTCTGATTGTCGCCGGATTTTTTTTCTTGTGATTTACCATTCTGTATGCAAAAGTCTTTCGAAATAGTTTTATCTTTTTCATATGTCGCATAAATTCGTTAAAAATTTTTAGAAGTAGAATTAATAGCTTACATTAGGTTAATCTAAAATATTATTTGAATTTTAAAAAAATAACGATAGTTTAATAATAACAAATGAATATGACTGAATATCTTTTAACTTAGTGATATTCAATGGAGAATCTCAAAACGAGAAAAAGTTGTGCTTAAGTTTTTTTCTTTTTTTTTCTCCCTAAAATTTGCAATTAACCATTTTATTAAAAGAAACATTTTTGAAAAGTCAAGTGTGAAACTACAAATTAAGAAGTAACTACAAAGTTTTACTTATTCAAGGATTTTTTATTAGAATTTATTATTTCTAACAAAAAATTCAAAAAAATTTGATTTTGGAATTTTTTTTAATGTTAATCTCAACAAATATTGTTATTAGAATATTACACAATTAAAAAAATTATTGAATTTATTTCGGTATTATAGATATAATAGTAAGAATATCTTTTTCAAAATATGAGCAGAAAAATAAGGAGAAGAAATCGAAATATATTTCTTAATTATACATTAAAAGTTATTAGCAACTTTATAATAATTTTAGAAACAATTATATTGTAAAAGTTTCTGTACCTTCATGTTCCGTTCTTCTTATTACCCTGTTATATCGACCCCAACTCAGACGACAAGAAGCCGTACTTTGTTTGTTATTTAACTATTTTAGGTTCGAAATTTTTAGTTTTACAATTTCATCACTTTTGGCTCAGCCATAAGGGTAATTCGTGATTTTTTTTCTTTCTTTTGACTATGATAATTAATGTTAGTAATTAAGTACGATTAAAATATTTTTAACCGGTTAAATTAAAAAAAAAATTTACTACAAATTACTCTCGATTGTTTTCTTTTTTTTTCCCGTATAATTAACCATTGCGCATGAAAATTAATTATGCAAAATTCATTCGAAAGAAATTCTTCTTTACGCATGTCGCATAAATTCGTTAAAAACTTTTTGAAATAGAATTAAATGCATTCATTAGGATAATTTAAAATATTATTTAAATAAAGCCAAACAACTCTAGATTATTAATAACAAATGAATATCTTTGGAATAACTTAGCTAATGCTTAATAAAGAATCTCAAAACAGAAGAAAAAAAACTATATCCAAGTTTTTTTTTAATTTTGAATTTGTAATCCCCTAAAATTTGTAATTTACCATTTTGTTAAAAATTAATATTTTTAAAAGGGCAAATGTCAAACAACAAACTAAGAAACAACAACAAAAAAATTCTTTATTAATTTTTTAATACAATTTTTAACAAAAAATTTAAAATCATCATGTAAATTTTTAAATGCTAACTTACCAAATTTCGTTCTTAAAATATCAGACAATTTTAAAATATATATCTATCGAGTTTATTTCGGTATTATAGATATAAGAGTAAAAATAACTTTTTGTCTTGTTATATTTTGATGAGAACTTTCGCATATGCAAAAAGGACAGAAAAATAAAGAAAAGAAATGATAACCTGTTTCTTAATTATGCATCTAAAATTATCAGCAACTTTATTAATTACAAAAATGATTATATTCAATAAGCTTCTGTTCTTTCAAATTTCTTGTAATTTTTTTTCTTACAGAAAGTTGTACAGTGGATGAAAAATACGCATGTAAATTATAGTAAATCTTTTTCATATTTTATACGAATAGTTATCTTGTTTATTTATTATATACCAATCTCATTTATAACTAACCTATTTGTTTCTTCTTTTCAATATAGAAAAAATTGCAAGATATTTATATAACTACGAAGCATATTACAAGGTAACTAAAATAAAATTTGATAAAAATAAGGTATTCATTATAGTATACATATATGACCATCAAGAGTACAGAAAATTTTGAATTTATAAAATGTTCACGTTTCATTTCGAAAGAAGTTGTGCAAGAAACTAACTTTATTTAGTCTATTTATTATATGAAACAAGGGTGGAAAAACTGAATTCTTGAGGGAAAAAATTATGTTTGTTAAATATATTCGTAAAATACCTGAGTAAATGTCAAGAAATCATCTTTAAAATCGGAAATCTAATTTTATCCCAGCATTAAATACATCTTATTCGAAACCAATATTTTTTATTAAAGAGTCAATCTCAATGTATGCGATTAACGCACAACCCATCGCTACCGTTCGGGGATGCGTGAATTTATATTTAGTGAAGACGGTTCGTAACTCATTGTCCACAGAACTATAAAGGTATGCTATGAAAAGTAACTGTAACTGTAACAAAACTAAAAATATTTTGTTTGTTTGTTTGAATCGTCTGTCATTTTATATTTGGTCCATGAAAATTTTATGAATTAGCCTAGAATAAATCAAGAAGAAAATAATTTACATACGAATATTTTTTTAAACATTGAAATACAAATCTTATTCAATCGGAAAAATGAGGTATTTGGAATAATTATTAAACTATATTTTGAATATTCAGAAGAAAAAAAAATTCTCATTTGTTTTGGTTAAATCATATTTGTTTATTATTTCTCTGTTTTGATGTAATAATGTGTGCATCAATTATTATATGCAATTATTGGTAGCATTTACTTTTTCATTTGTAAAATTAATGTTATTTATGATAAAGTTTTAATTAATTAGCAATTTTTTTGATAATTAGAGCAGTATACACAGTTGAATTAGAAGCGTAACAGAGGGGAAATCGCACAAGTATTTTATTCTATTAAATATGTTAAATATTTTTGCAAACAAAAATTCTACTAAACTATGCTACTTTAGGGTGCAGTGTTTAATTAATTGGCGTAAAATTATAAAAGAGCCTCATAATTAAATTGCAACTTATTTAAAAGTACTTGTAACAGAGGGGACAAATAAAATCCCACATATTTGACATGCACTGTTATTTTGCTAAATTCTGTGATTTAGACCATCCTAAACATTATCCGCAATTTTTTTTTAAATTATCACATTTCAAGGTAAAATAAGTTATTTGAAAACTTTTAAAATTGCAAACACATTTTTTTAATGTCCAAATAATGCATCATAACAGAGAGAACATGGAATGTAACAGAGGGGACATCTTACAAATTTGACAAAAAGTTAAAGGGAAATATCACTGTTAAAAGTGACTCTTCGGTTGTTTAGAGTTGGAGTTGGCAGCACTGCTATATTTGAAACCCATGGTACTTCTTTGTAGTTATATTTGAAAGTTTTTATTTTACCAGACTGTGTTTAAAAAAAAAAACGCTATTGCATTGTTTGTTTCGTTCTCAATTCCAGTTATTTGGGCAACAAAATTAACTATCCTCCTTTTTCCTTGAACTTTTAACACTTAAAAAACTATCTATTGCACGTTAAATATAACTGTTTATTTAACCAGTAAAAATATTTTAACCATATTATATATTTATTAAAATAATTTTTTCCGGAAGATTTTTAATTGGTACCTGCACCAAAATTATCAGCAAATTTTGGTAACTTCTAGGTCCATGAGAAACGAAGGGGAAAAAAAATCATAAAAGAGGTCCAACTAAGAGGGTAACTCATTGCTATACCCTGGCAAACCTCTACATATTTTTCTTTGATAATTTTTTATAAGCTTAAAATTTCGTTGGCACCCTAGTGATTGAAGTTGGTAAGAACAGATGAACAGATATTGATATTAAAAGGGCTTGATAAAGGTGTATTTGCATAGAACTTTTAGCTTATGCACCATGGGATGTGCTTCCCTGTGTTAGGGAATTAATTGCATCTAAAACATGCATAATTAAATTTCCTGCATCTAGTTTTCTCTAATAAATTTAAGTTATGTAGGTATATTCACATTTAGTGCAATTTTTATTTATTTATTTATTATTTTTTTTATCATTTATATTATAGTATATAAAGATACAGGTGGTTATCAAAGTAATGGAAACACATCTGTGACAAATGGCTTGGGAATTGCTGTTCTGCCATAAATGTTCTCTTTATGAAGGTTTCTCCTAACTTTAATTGTTGACACTAGAGAATTCAGTTGCAGATTGAGCTCTGCGGTCACTTTGGCTGCAGTTGTTTTCTTTTTAGACATTACAATCCGCTTCATTACCCGTCGGTCTCTTTCACTCAACTTCTCCTTCTGTCCACTATTTTGCTTTGCTGAGCTTGTCTTTCTGTGCTGTGTGTATGCTGTCATGTCTTTAGACATCGTACCTCTAGAAACGCCTAAAAGCTGGGATGTTTCGGTCACTGTTGCTCCAACTAGTCGGGCTCCTACAATTTGGCCGCTCTGAAAATCTGTGAGGTCTGACGTTTTATGCTTCTGACAAAAAATCAAAACGTAGACAACTCTGCTAAAGCTCTCTCTTACCACCTAATATATTTACTTTTTATATAAAAAAAAAAACTGGTAGCTAAGATTATATTTTAATGCTTATGAAGCGAATTCTAAAATGTCCCTTTTATTCACAAGTGTTTCCATTATTTTGATAACTTGCTACTGTACTTTAATGTATGCCTTTCAATTTTTTTTATCACTCTCTTGTTTACATTATAAAAGTTCTTATCTTCTACCACAGTGTTTCCCAAACTTATGACTTTTGCGTACCCTTTCTAAATTTTTCGTAACTCAGTGTACCACTAATAAAAAAATTTATGTATTCTTTTAAAGACATTTTTCGTTTTTGGTTCAAAGGTTTTTTAGATACTAACCAGCCATCCATATTCTATGTTAGGGATAAATATTATATTTTATAAAAATAATCAAAATGAGTAGAATTTATTACAAATCTTTACTATGAAGAAATTGCACAAAAATAAAAATCACAACTATCTGTCGACATCACCCACTAATTATTAGCCGTTAACTCTGCAAAAAATAGCCAATAGAAAAATACGCATTCGAAAATTTTCATGGCTAGCTTTGTTTTCAAATAAATTTTTTTGAAATTTTCGTTTGTTGCAAGATATTTCGCTTAAGAACGCGTACCCCCGCTAAACAGTTCCCGTACCCCGGGGGGTACGCGTACCACACTTTGGGAAACACTGTTATACCATTTCAAATCTTCTACCATTTTTATCTAGCATAAAATGTTGCATGTTACCTCACCAAAATATTAATTGTATTCAAACTTAGTTTTTTTAGTAAAAGAGGGTATATTTTTGTAGCAGTATTTGTTTGAAACAACTAAATGCATCAAGAGCCACTGAGCAGCTCTTGTATAAACTTGCAGTTAAAATTTTTTAGTGGTTTGCTTGAGAGAGGCTGAGACTTTTGCCCTATGCTGTGATTTCTGTAATTTTTTCTGTTGCTACTACCCTGTTGTTGCCAAAGCTATGTTACTATTTTGCACAGGTACCAACACATAAATCTTCTTCTAAAAGAACTTGTTTATTCAATTAAAGGTAATTAAACACATTTGATCAATAAATATAATTGGACTAAAATAACCCTGTTGTTGCCAAGTTATGTAGAAAATTTATTGTAGATAGCAAAAACTGACTATCTACAGTATGAGAATTATCTATTTGAAAATAGGTTATTTCTATGAGAATAACCTAATTTCAGACTCAATGATTTAATTTTAAGTCTTCAAACTTATGTTCTTTATTATCTATTTTTGAGGTGGTTGGTCTTAGACTTTGATCTTAGTATTGATTCTGAGTGACAATGGATTCATAAATGTACCACAGATTTCCCGTGTCTTATATACTAGTGAATTGGAATTGTATTTTTGTAGTGGTAGATACACTACAGTAGTAGCAATTATTTATAATAATGAGAAAAATAGAAGGTTAAAATTTCTACTAAGTAGTATTTGACAAATAAGTAACTACCATAAGGCCTTCGTCCTTTTGAATAAAATTGTTAAAGTTACTATTGGTGGTAGAAAAATGTTCTATTTGTAACTCTTTTTATGTTAGTTATTAGAAAAGAAGTAACATGTTTAAAAAATGTAAAATACATGAACTAACTGTTACTTTTTTGTTGCTTGCTGTCTCTCTCTTAGAGCATTGAATGTTTAAGAGGATTTTAAATCATGTTTAAATTTATAAAACTTTATTACTTTCAATGTATTACATAATTTCTAATTTTTTAAGTTCTAGACCTTCTTTCCACCAAGTAAATGGAAGAAGACAATATGTGCAAAGACCCTCGCCTCCTGAATCTTCTCAAGCTGAAATAATTAAATATGTTCAAGAAAGTAAGTTTATATTTTTTCTATGTTGTCACCTAAAAAATAATATTAAAATTTTTTGTTTTTGTTTGATAATAAAGAACCTTTTACAAAGTGAGAAGTAAAAATATATTTAGATTTTCCATCATTGGTTGGAATCTTTCATTACAATGAAAAATTTCAATTAGAGTAATCTTTTGGACAGTTATATGTATTTGTAAGTATGTTATTATTTGAGTCTTGTGGGTTTAATTTAATTTTATGACCAAATTTTAAAAGAAATACACTAAAATTGTATTTAAGAAGTATTTTTTTAAATAAATTATTTTCCCATTTCATTGAATGGTGATTTAGTATATATCTCAGGGCTCGAAAAACCGCCCGTCCTCGGCGGCCAAAAATTCCTGCGGACAACGAATTTCTCGAATCCGACGTCCGCGCGGATGGCCATTTTCCCGTTAATGTTCGTGATACATTTTCAATTTTTATTATCTTACAAGCGTCTAGCGCCTCACTTCTAAAATGATACTCTAATCTAGAAATACAGCAGCATACTGCGCATGGTGGAATTGATGTTTTCTCTGTCTGGGAGTACTGCAGCGGTTGAAAGGGGCTTTTCATCAATGAACTTAAAAATTAAAAAAACACATTACGTACTGGGTGGCGATTAACACACAAGGCAGGGCTCGAAAAACCGCCCATCTTCGGCAGTCAACGAATTTCTCGAATCAGACATCCGAGCGGAAGGCTATTCGCCATAAATTGTCATGATACATTTTCAATTTTTGTTATCTTACAAGAGTCTAGCGCCTCACTTCTAAAATGACCATCTAATCGGAGAAAGAAATTTTTTCTCAGTAATGGGTGTCATTAAAATTTAAGATACATAACATTGTTAAACACAGAAAACATCAGCCCTCTGAGCCCAAGCTATTTATAAAGATCTAATGCAGAAAAATGACCCATAATACAGCAACATACAGTACATGGTGAAATTGATGTTTTCTGTGTCTGAGAGTACTGCAGCGGTCGAAAGGGGGCTTTTCAGCAATGAACTTACAAAAAAAACACGTTACGTACTGGTCTTAATCAAGAAACGTTAAATGCAATTATGAACATCTACCTAAATGGAAAACCCCTTTCAGATTTATGTGCCAACACCTCTGTAAATCATAGGCTTCATTGTGGAACTGGAAAACGTCTTATTTGATTCATTTAAAAAACGCATTACCCTCATTAAATTGACGCATTAAGTTGACCTCCGTCATTTAAATTATTTCATAAAAGAAATACTAGGTTACTATTAGTAACCTAGTATTTCTTTTATTACTGTATATTGCAATTCTAGTATTTCTAATCCTAGTTACTACTAATTTATTGCGCAATTTATATAAATGTTTGTAATAAATAAGAGAAAATTATATTATTTATTTAGAAGCTACGGGTTAGTTTCAAAGGAGGACGGGTTCATTGTTGGACAAGCCGTCCTCTGGGACGGGTAAAATTTCTGAGTTTTTTCGAGCCCTGTTGTATCTTGTTATAACACTAATTTCAATTGTATTGTGAATAAGAATCTCAAATTTTTGTGAGAATATCTTATTTAATTATTTCCAATTTTTAATAATACATGTTTTCAAAAAAATTAATTAAAAATTTTAAAGCACGGAATAATGAAGTAATGGAAATATAAATACTTTTTGTATGTAGTTTCTATTTTATTTTTAACTTAATAACTTATTATTAATTAGTTATTGTTATCTAAATATCTAGAACTAATTTGTTAATAATAAAATGCAATTATTAAAAAATCCATTTGGGTTTTTTCAGGTTGGGTAAAATCATAACAACCCTGATTGTAATGTAATTTTCTATTACAAATAAGTAAAATAAAAATTTTAAGTTCTACATGCGGGATTTATAAACAATAAAATTATTACAGCATGCTTAATTAACAAACCATGAAGTTTAGTACAACAATTGCGATTTATAAACCATAAAGATTATTGTCCTTAAAAGGTCAATTTTTTAAATTCTACTTCATTTTCAGTAAACCTTAAGTTTGATCATAATCAAATTTAACTTCAGTTTAAGAATAAGTCTATAATTAAAGATGACGAGTCAGTTATGAAAATTATATTTGCTTTCATAGTCTCTTTCTAATACAGCATTTCTTTGCCTGATTTAAGATTAGCATTATTTAGCATTGTTCTTTGACATTGTGTTATACTTTATTCTCAAAAGCGTAGATTTTTAAAGTGAAAAAATTAGTTTATTATGTGAAGAATCTTGCAATTTAACTTTATGTACTACAGTATTTATTTTAACATTATGGAATGCTATTTTTTTTTAAAAAAAAAGATTTAATTCATTAATTAGAAATATATAAGAATAGGATGTGAATTATTAAAATTTATCATCAACTGTATAAAACCTATTTGGCTAAATCTGTTAAATATTCTTAGAGATAATCAAGCAAGCAATTTCTACATAACTCTTCACTGCTGTAAAAAATGAAGTTTGATTGAGATGCTAAAAATTTTAACAAAAATTTCGGCTTGCATTATAAAAATAACAGTAATTAAATTTTCAGTTATTGCAGTACCACATAATCAATACTTAGTATCCAAAAAAATTTATTTACAAAGTAATTTTTATGAAAAATAATTTCTTATAAAGGTTTTGTATATACTGAATTAGTGCAATTAAATGTAATAATCATTCTGTGTTGTTTGCTATACAACATTAATCTATGCACAATTTAAATTTTAGGCTGGAAAAATATTCTAAGAGAAATAGAGTATAGCCGTTCTCAGGTTGCTGAAGGCAAAGGTATGCTTGTTTTTTGTTTTAATTTATTATTTATATTGTTATTAGTTCAAATTTTATACTTTTAGATGACTGCAAATTTAAAAATATGCTTGCTGCAAATGCTTTAAGGGAAAAATTTTAGAATTTTTGTGATTCTATAATTCTGTAACCTTAGTAACAAAAGCTTATCTTATAACAAAAGCAATCCTTAGCTATCTAATAACAAAAGCATTTAAATTTGTTTTTAACAGAATAGAAATTAAATATTTTACAATTTTGTACAAAATATTAATTATATTAAAATTTTTATATGTTGCTTACTTAAAATATAATTGCTGCATATGTTGTTCTTTAAAATAACGTTGTTTCAGTATTATTACTATTGGAACTATTGCTACAGAATTATTACTACTATTTTGTTTTAGATATTTTTATTTATGTATCTTTTCTTTATTTCTATTAATTAATACAATTTCATTTTCTTTTAATAAGAAATTTTACTTTTTGGTAAATAGCATGTGGGAAAGTTAGCATAAATATTCGTCAAAATATTAATTAACTTGACTAAAGCTGGTGTTACTACCTTTTTTGAATGTAAGACTGTAAGAAAAATTTTCTACTTTTTTTAAAAAACGCATTTTACATTCTTAGATTAGCGCAATTATAACTATTCATTTTGAAATAAACTCCATGGCATTGCAATATATTTTCCCCCAAAATCTAAGTATATATATTTTTTTTTGAAAAAAACCGATTAATATTTTTAGTTTTTATTCAGTTAGTACAGAGAAAAAACTAATACTTCCTAAATTAGATTTATTTTATTGTTTTTCATTCTAATTTTATTGTTATTCATAGCATTACTAAGTGTATTGAATGTATAATTAGTTTTTTTTAAAATTTAAACAAGTCCTCAGTTTTGAATAACGGCGAAGATTTTTATTTCAGAAATCTTAGGCACAATGATGCAACAGTGTGGCACAGTGACAGTAAAATTTAATCAACTCTACTAAAACTAGTATATCTTAATTTCTTCTCACAATTCTAAATTTTTTATTGGAAAATAACAGTAATTTAAACTATTAAATGAAAGGATAATTTGCAATTAAAATTTGAATTTATCCTTAATGTCATGAAGAAATAAAATCAATTTTATGCCTAAATCATAGAAGTTAATTGCCTGTGAGAATTAACAGCCTTGAAATGTTTTTCCCCCGCACTTGCTATTTGTAGCTAAAAATCCGAGTGAAAATCACTCTCTACCAAGTCTAGACTGTATGGTTAATTTGTTTCCGTCCAAGAGATCTGATCAGATATTAGTTGTAAATCATAAAAATAAGTCTGACATTGTCATGTAAAGGCAAAACTTCATAAGTCAGATGGTCATTTCTCTTACCTATTGGTAAATTCACACTGAGAAAATGTTCCTTGCTGTCAGAATGAAATCACTGACCTTTTGCACAGTCGGTAAGTTAATCAATTGCTTTGTACTGACATTGTACACTGCAATAATAATGCTGTGAATGACGTGGTTTGATGAGCACTGTAAAGGGCCATTCTAAGAGCATGCAAAGACAATTTTGATGATGAGTTTGTGAACCTGATTAAAGAAATACTTTTAACAGCAAAAAACTAGCCAACCAGGTTTGCATCTCCGAATTTGTATCTGCGACCTGTTTTGCATGCTGCGAGTAGTACGGGGCAATGCATCGATGCATCAGAAAATGTCTATGTTACGCTATCAACGCCAATCCTGTGTTTGAATTACCTTTCTTTTTCAAAGCATCAGAAATTAAGATTCACCCATGAATCATCAAGCAGAGATATATGTTTTGCTGGCAGATGAATTTTGATTAGACTACAATTAATTGAGAATTGAAGTGTTGTTGAATCTCTGTTATTGAAACTGTGCAAATCCTCTGATGTTGATTTTAATACAGTCTTTTATCTTTGTTTTTTATCATCATCCATGTCTTTAATTTGTTTAAAAATATAAAAACAAAACAGTGTTTAACCCCATAGCGATCGGTTAATTTTCAAGAAAATGGTTATGAAAGTGCCTATTTTTTTGGCTTTTATATTCGTATTACGTATTTGATTAGTGCTGCAACTAGTTTAAAATAATCTAACTATCTACAATTACCTTAAAAATATCCTGGTACTGCCATCTGGTGTGTTAAATTAGAAATAAAATGTTTCCTGGGCAAAAGAAATGAATTAGTTTTATTCTTATTGGCACGTTACTACTGAACACTCCAGCCCGTCAATATCATGGGAGCGAGAAGTAGAGGGTGAAACCTCACCCCGTCATTTTTACGGGAGCGAGAAGGAAGGGGTTAGTAAAAAAAATTTCAACTTTTATAATGCAAATATTTCATATTTTCTTTTTATTCAGTGATTTGTTTTACTTTTTAAGGCATTCCTATTTTTGTTTAATAAATATCGATATGCTAAATTTACGAGAGGGGGGGAAGGTTAGTCTGAAGTTATAGGTGCCTCTTGGTGCCAGCTGTTCTTAAGTTTTTAATCTTTTTCAATACATCATCAAAGTTTTTTTCTTTTTATAACGACTTTCATTAAAGATTATACTAATTGCTGGCTCAATATGTGTGTTCATTTTTGATTTTATATTTATGTTTACTAAATTAACGACATAGTCCGCAGCAGGCTATGTTCTCCCGCGTTCTCGCAATCTTATCATTTTCACTTTTTATTATCTTGTTTTCCTCATTGATGTGATTTATTGATTTTTTTTAAATACTATTGATTATTAATAACTAGACAAATTCATAAAATTTTTTTTTTTGTAGGATGACTGAGAAATTAGTTTTTTTACAAGTTTATAATTGCCTTAATCAACCAATCGAAAAGTGGAAGAATTTAAAATCAAGAATCGAAAAGTGGAAGAATTTAAAATCAAGAAATATGCACTAAATGTAAAACATTAACGTAAAGAAATATCGTAATGTTATTGTGATGATGATAAAATCTTAACAATTCCCTGTCCTAGCTGTGAGAATAGCTCTTAATGTTTATGTGACATTCCATTATGTTGGTCAATGCAGATTCTAGTTTCTGAATAATTTAAGTAAATATTTCAAGTAAAGAAAAATTAACACCCACGCTCAAATTTATTGTGAATTTATATAGTGTGATGAGTGATTTATGTATAGTTTTTTCATATAACCTCTGTGTAAAATGAAAATATGCTTTTCTAGTTTTTTTTTTAACTTAGAATTTTTTCTTCTTTTAATTAGCCCCAAGCATTTCATATTATTGTAGCAACATGCCTGAAGAACAAAGCCCTCACCCAGGTAAATTTGTTTGTTTACATTTTTATAAATTTATAAAATGTTATAGATTTAGGTGTCAAATATGCTTCAAAAATCCTAAACTGGTTTTGATGAAAGAGCAAATATTATTCTTTATTATAATAAAAGTGGCTTCAGATGATGGAAACAAGAAAAGTGCAAAATTACTTCCTTTTAAATTTTTGAAATCTTTAGGAAATATGAAAAGTCAAGTAATATTTAACTTTTATTAATTGTATTTAATGTACGAGAGATTTATTTTTAACTAATAATTGGGTATTATTATTCTTAACTAATGTTTTGTTTGTACAAGAATATGTTTTTTACACTTTTTTTTTAAAAATTTAATAAAAAAAAAGAAAAATTCTGCTTTTTTTTTCTTTCAAATTCCCAAAAAAAGATAATTTTTTCCCTCCTATGTAAACATAATTTAAAATTGCATTTTCACTATTTAAAGTTACAGAACTTGATTCATAGCTATTCAATTTGAAAATACACTCATAATTCATATTCTTGGAATCAAAAGTTATTAAGCTTGATTCACATTCTAATGATTTAAAGATCTTAAAACGGGATTCATATTCGTTCAATTTTAAAATAACACATTGAGATCTGCATCAACACAATTTTATTAAAACTTAAGTAATATTATGATATATGTTTCCTACTTGCATTTTTTTTCTTGCTAGAATTTCAGGTATTTTTTCAAGTATTTAAAATGTGTTTTGCACATAAAATTTTTGGACTTGTATTTTCAGCTTTTTACCTGACTTATCCTTTGCAATGTCAAACTGTAAACTTAACTGCAATTAACATTGTGTTGGCATTAATATGTCCTAATTCATACAAGCGACTTATACTTCAGAGGATTTATTTATTTTTAATATCTCGTCAAGGCTTAACAAATTTTTATTATATTTAAGGTATGTCTTCATTATATGTACCTTCTAGGCAAGGCCGTAGCCAGGATATTTTTTCGGGGGGGGGGGATATGGTAAGAAGGGGAGGGATATGGTTCGGGGTGGGATATATAAGCAAGGACAGTTTCAGAGATGCAAAGTAGGGGAAAAACATTATAACAAATATTGTTTATTCTGTTGTTTGCAAAAGTTAAACTAGTAATTAAAAAATATTACATAATAATTGTTTTTTAATTAATTACATAATAACTATAATCAATTTGTAAACAAAGACCTGCGACGGGGATTTGAAGAAAAATTTTTAATTACTTTTTTAAGACAAACTGGAATATCCCAAAATATGCTTAATAAAGTTAGCCCTGTTAGCCTTTCTTCTTTAGTAGCATTTCTTGTTGCTGTTTTTACGTGTTTAAGAGTAGAAAAAGTTTTTCTGCAGTTGCTGTGGTGATTGGCAACGTAGCCAATATTGATAACAAGCAATAAATGTTTGGGAAAAAGATACTGTCACATTCTTCCATTGCTGAAAGTGCCGTATCTGGTCTACTAAGGGGTTCACGCAGGTTCCACTTTGACACCCATACTTCCATTTCTCCCATGAGATTTTCGATGTCAATGAAATCTGCGTAGATTCGGAAATTGCATAAATTAATATGCTGAAAAACGATTGATTTCGGGGGAGGAGTTAACCGAAGGAAAGATGAGTCACAAGGTCAAGAGAAGATGATGCACTAGCGAAGGTGGCGTAATGGGAAAAGGTTTGATTTGACAGTTTTTGTTTTTCTTTTTACTGAGAGGCTCAAAGAAAGACTAAAAAGTTTGAATCCCAGAATTTCGGGAGGGGGGGATTTGTCCCGACGGTCCCCCCCTCCTGGCTACGGGCCTGCTTCTAGGAAAATATTCTCCTAGAAGAATAGAACCAAGAATTTTACATCTCAAGGTGTTAATTTATAAACCACCTCATTAATATTTGAAAATTGCAATAAAATCATTATTCAAATTTGTGTATCTGTGTTTCAGTTATTAAGGTATACACAGAAAGAGAGAGACCTTCATTTATGTATGTACAGTGTGCAAAATGGACCACCCTGAATAACTTTTGATCAAATGATCAGATTTTCGCATTCTGGAACTCAATCTTAAAGGTGAAAGGGTGACCTCAAACATGCTATTTAATTAGTGCAGACAACATTTTAAGTTAAAAAATCGGGCACAAACATGCACTTTCTTTTAATAAGCATACTTTTTTTTGATGGATGATTTTTAACCCTCAAAATATAGGGGATAGTGCAATCTGGAAAATATGTTATCCATAGTTTGGTCAGTAGAGCAGTCTAAAGTTTGGACCCCTTAATATTAATCTTATTTTTTTGTATATTTCACCACATTGCGAACTTTTTGAGCGAATTGAAATTTTTTTGCACACAATTATAAAATCTGTGTAGCCAAGGATAATTCCATGCAAAAAATAAAGTTTAGTAAATATATACTATTTTTTATTTAATAAGACTTGAAAAAGTTTTTTGCTCTGAACATAAATAAAAATTTTAATTAGTAGCATTTAAATTCAAAGGCGCCAAAAACTATAAATGGTTATCAATAAATTGTGATTTCTTTTGTACAATTCAGTTCATGGAAAATTCAGTGTGTTATAAAATTTTATTTTATTTTAGATTTTAAGCGATTTGACCTAGATGGCTTTTTGGAAAGAAGATCTTTACATATGCAAGCAAATAAGCAGTCATCTCAATAAATCATTAGTTGAAAGGGGTGGTGGAGAATTAGAGAAAAATCTTCATACAATAGGAACATATTTTGAAAAAACTTCACATCCATTTTAAGGACTGCATATTTTATTTTGAGACCAATAACACTTATGTTAGGTATATAAAATTGTTAATCGTCATTTAATTTTTTTAAAAAAAATATTTTGCTTGTACAAATGCATATTTTGTAAAGGCAAATCATTTGTAAAGTCAGAAAGATTTGCTAGTTATTTACAGATTACTTTTTATACTTTAATGAAGCATATGTGTAATCTATTATAAAAAATGAATTTATTTTGTCACCAAATCCCTATATATTCTAATACAAAAGCAATAATATTTATTCTGTGTTTTCCTTTTACTGTTGTGTTATGTAATGTCTCACGGTTTTTGTTACTGTCATTGTATTATAATTTAATTGTTAAGTATTAACTTATTAAAGTCTCTTTTCCATAATCTGTGTTCTTATTGTTCTCTTTTCTAACTGCTACTAATCCAGTTAACATACATAAGGGGTCTGTCCAGGGAAAATTTACTACTGTTTAGCAGTACCTTCATAAATTCTACTTAAGGAAAATTTTATGTAATGCCTTAAAATTTTATTTTTGTATCCCCGTAAAGAGAAGGTAGCACATGTTTCGTCAGATAGTGCTGTGTGGTAAGCCTAACCGGTAGCTTACGCCATATTATAGCAAGCTTTTTTTTTGCAGTTTTTTTTTTAAAGAAATTAAAAAATGTGGTACTTCCTCTGTAAACTTTACAAGAAGTTGAAATTCAGACATTCTTAACATTTGAACATTGTTCTAAATTTATTCTAACATACCTTTATTTTTTCTCTGAAATTTGTTTCTATATGACTCTACGGGGAAATGTTCTCATAANAGTTTTTTTTTTAAAGAAATTAAAAAATGTGGTACTTCCTCTGTAAACTTTACAAGAAGTTGAAATTCAGACATTCTTAACATTTGAACATTGTTCTAAATTTATTCTCATAATGAAAATAACTTTTAGTGCAAGTACTGCTAAATGCATGTTTTTTTTTTTTTTTTTAAAAAATTCAAGTTGAAATTTAACAATGATTTTTAAATTTGGATACAATTTAAGCCCAAAATTTTACAATAGCAAAATTATTTTTTAATATACGTTGAAAAATGTATAAAAATTTACCAATCAAACGATTTTTATTTATAGTGCAAAGTTTTGAAAATACCTTTTTACTTTACCATATTTTTGTGTTGATTTTTTAATTTTCACAAAATAGGTACCTCTTATAAAATGCTAGACCCCTGTACATTTAATTTTTAAGTTCTGAATAATAATAATTCTGAATTATTTAAGGGCTTGGAGCTATATTATAATAAACCACATTTTCAAATTGTTCAAGAAAGCATTTTTGGTAAAAAACAGAATTTTCCTGTAGACTATTAGCTGTTTCTGTACAAAGTGCTGTTATCTAGTGGAAATTCACAAAAACTAATTGGAAACAATAATATGAGACAGTGGAAAAATTACTTCATTGCTAAAAACCATGTTAGATGTATAAATATTTTATTTAATTTGTTGCACATATTTTTAATAATTCTGTAGGGAAAAAGTGTGCCGGGAAAATAAAATATGCACACTCCACATTTATTGAAATACTTAAGGTTTTACGTAAAAAGGCATTGAATCAAATTAAAACACCTATTTACGAACAAACTGTGATCCAACCAAATATAAATTGAGAGAAACCACTTAACTAGCAAAAACAATATGTACATATTATAACTTAAGTTTTATGATATAAAAAATATAGCTATAGAAATATTAAGTTTATAAATTTTATAACTGTTTTCCTTAAAGTTATAAACCTGATGCCTATTTTGATTAAAAGTGAGTAAAACTTCAAACATTTTTAATTCTAAAATGTTATACATATAAATTTGTTTTAAAAAGTAACTGACAAAGAATATGCCCCTAGTAACAGAATTTACAGAGTAAATTTGCAACATTGCCTTCACAAATTCTAATTCTAGACTACTACTGTAAAAATTCAGTCTAATCCAGCATAAGTGAAGCAACATTTCTATTATGACTGATGAAAATTATGAAGAAAAAAAAATTATATTGTAAAAACACAATTTTTTTACTTTCAATATTTTTAAATAAAATGGAATATTTTTTATATAGCCCTTGTAATAAATAATAGTGCTCCAGTATATAAAACAATAAATGCTTATATATAACTCAAAAATGAATAAAGATAATATAGAAATAAATTGTTTATTAAACATAATAAATACAAAATTTTTATAAGTTACATTATCAAGTGTACATTTTATTTTATATTTTTTTATTAGTATAAAAGTACAAAATGTAAATCGAAACTGAATTCCTGTTTAAATCCATAAAACAATGTACAAAATTCCATCTCACGATAATTCAACTTGCTGAAATATCGTTCTACATATCTTTAAATTTTTTCTTTGCTACCTTTGAAATATCTTCACAATCATCTCTGAATTTTCTATTTATATCCAGCATCTGTAAAAGAAAATTAAAAAGTGCTTAAAGAAGTTTATTTATGTATTTGGATTTCTAAAAGGTGCTTTTTTTCATTGGGTGATTGTAAAAAGTGATAAATTTACATGGTTGATGAATTGCCTGTGCTTCACTGAGCTGGATTCAGTTGGAAGAATTCCTGCACTCACACGCAACTCTGCTACATTTTGCGAGAGGTTCTTGATTTTAGACTTTACCTCGATCTCTCAAATTTTTGTTAACCCTGGAGACCAGCTAAACATCGTTAAATATTTCCTTCAATCGCAAATTTTTTAAAAATTTTATTTTAGGTCAGTAAGAGAATTTGAAGATCATACACTAATTAAGAATTTTCACATGAGTTTAAAGCAGTCAACTATCACAGAGCTTAGAAATTTTTGTATCCCTTTTATTGATTTTGATTTAATGAGATAATTAATTGAGATTGGTTAATCGTTGGATTTTGTGCCAGAGCGACAATTGTATAAAATACTTAAAGCTTATTATAGTCTTATTTTACTGGATTTGTTAAGAAAAATAAATTCAATAATTTTTAGTGGTAAGATTTTAAAAAGTATGAACTGGGGAGGGGAAAGACTTCACTCTTTTAACATCTAGCAAATGTAGCAAAAAATTCAATGCAATTCAAATGTCATTTTAAAATAATATGACCTCTTTATCATTTAAGTTAAAAATAATCTAAATGAAAATATCAATGGTTCTTATATTTTTTTAATATGATAAATATAGGGACCCTGTAATAATTTACTTCTGACAAAAAAGTTAAGCTTCAATAGTTATTGTATTTTCAATTCAAAATCATTGAAAATTTATTTGTTTCATTAAAGAAATACTGAACCAAAATAAATATTTTAATACATTTTTTTGGGTCATTCTCTTATTTATGAATTTATTCGGTTTTCTTTGCTTGCTTATTTTTCTATAACTCTTTATCAATTAAGAGTGCTTTAGTTGAGTATGCATTTATAAGTATTTTTTACTCAAATCTATTAAAAATTAATCTTTAACAAATTGAAATTTATTTTCAATTTGACAAAATGGAATAAAATTAATTTAAAAAATCCAATGAGCAACTCTAAGCTGAATATATTTTTTAAAATTGAGCATAAAATGTTTTTATAATGGCTACGAAATTAAGAATAAAGTTCTTTGCTAGAAATAATTTATTTTATCATGATTATAAGGTCTTTGACAATATTTTTGCATTTTAATTACTTTACGCACACATATATGAAGAAGTTTCATTGATTCGAAGTGAAAGTTTTTATAAGAATGCATATCTGATTTTTTGCTGAAAAATCAGGCTAAGCACCTCAATAATACATAATGAATTGAATGAGACCTGAGGAGCAACCACAGAGGATTGTTAATGTAACGAGCAGAAAGCAAAGTCTCCTAAATTGTAAGTGCTTTTATGCTATAATTAAAACTTATACTTTCTTAAGAGTTGAAACACTTAAAAAATGAACTATTTTTTAAAAAAAATTTAAACTTTAAGATACAAATTGATTAATATCCCTAGACTTTTTTTTATAACCGTCGTAGGACAGCCAACCTTATTTCAGGTTTACGATTGCTAATATTCAACTCTATAGTCTTGTAATTTTAAACCCAATTCGGAAGACAAGAGTAAATCCTGGACCAAGTATTGGTAGAAATTTGCTTTCGTGGAGGACTTTTTGTTGAAACTAACATTTGGGTTACATGAAGAGTAAAACCACGAAAACCTCCCACAGGTAGCCTAACGGCAAGGGGATCCGTCCACCACCGAGCACTGTGGTCGGTGCAAAGCAGAGTGCGGAATTCCTACAGACCAGCAATCTCTGGGATTCGAACCAGATTCACTTCATTGGAAGGTGAAAGCTCTATCCCTGAGGTATTTGTGTTAAATTTTCCCGATTTTTTCTGATTGATAAAATTCCTTGACTTTACCCTGTAGCACAGTCAACCTGTATATAGCTGTCAGGATCCTGATTCCTCTCCCACGCATTGGATTGACCCCTTGACCTGAGGGTCAAAGGGTGAAGGACACTGGAGGTGTCGTCCCCTACCTTGGGGGTGGAGCAAATGACTGTTTCTGAGGAGAAAGAGGATTTTTAGAGATCAGATTAGTTTTGAACGCAGAAGAGTGGAGTTTTGAGTTGAGCTATGATAGAGAAAGCATGAGCGAGAAGGGAGCAGCAGCGCTCCGGAATATTATATTCTCCAATTCATGTATCATTTTGTAAATAATTATATTAATCCAGAATAATGAAATAAATAAGCTATAACTGAAATAATCCTTGGTCATCCTTATTGAGGAGGTCTTTAAAAACGAACCAAGAGACAAAATGTCTCACTATAGCAAATTATATTTTGCTTTTGAAAAACTTATGCATTTATTTTTTAGTAACATGTCATAGAATTTTCAACACATGCTAACATACTTTTATCATTAAGTTTATGAATTAAATCTCACACAAATTTAAAAAATGAACATATTTATTTGGATTAATTTAAATAAATTTTGATTGATTAAGTAAAATTGTTCCTCTTTGAATTTTGGTCATTTTTAAATATAGGTTTCTTTTTATCCATGATGTATAAAACATAATTTTTTTTAAATCTCATTATGATTAAATGTATCTTAGATTTAGGAAATAAATACATTTTAATTCATAAGAAGGGCGAGCTAACTACTACATGTAAGCGAAAAAATGGGCATTGTGCAGGCTCAATTTTTGAGGGGAGGGGGAACAAAATTAAATTACACAGTCACAAGATTTATAAATTTTACACACGAGAAATTTTTTTTTTTTAATGTACTTAATACCTGCAAAAAGATGAATTACTTTTACATTTTTCTTGTTTTTTCTCCCTCTCCAACAACGCTCATGGGATAAAAAAATTTCAAATAATGTTAAGAGATTCATAACTTGATTTCAGAAGAAAAACATGATAAATTTTCCTAAATTTACTGGATTAGAAAAATTCCTTTTATGCTAAATTTCATGAAAGGATCACCTGTTGTTTGAATTGAGATATATGTTCGTCAGTTTCTTTTTCTGCATTTTTACAGCGGTTGACAATAGAAAATATTGATTCAATCTCCTTGTCAATATTCTTTTGTAATTCATCTATAGATGTATCCAAATTATGATGACATTGCTTCTCTTCAGACAACTGCCTATAATTAATGAAAAAACAAAGTAAGAAATAATTAAAAAAAAAATACAGTTTGGATGTACCCCAAAATAACAAATAAAAGAAAAACAGCTACATAACCGAAAAATAACAGCTTAACTTAGTATAGCTCCACTTTTTCAATAACCTAAATTTTTGATCAATCTTGTGCCTATATCTATAATAAACTGAAGAATTTGTGTGTCCCTCTTATAACTCCAGAACTGTTAACGTTAGCCTTTTGAAATTTAGACAATGGGTGAAAGGGGTAATTTTAGACCCCCAATTTTAGAAATTATTCATAAATTTCAATTATATTGTTCAGGAGAAATATTTAAAAAATGAAACTTTCTCATTGGTTTAGAGCAGAGGTTCCCAAACTTTTTTTTTCTCATGGACCACTTTCAAAGTTTTACTATTTTCGATAGACCCCCTGCTGCTACATTTCTACTGTATTCCCAAAACTCCTAAAAAATATCACCCTAAATTGGGGGTGCTAAGAAAAAAAAGCAGCACATTTTCTTGTGTCCTATATATTAAAATAATACTTGTGGTTAGGCAAAATTATAAACATTTATTATTACTAACAATCAACAATTGACAAAAAATCAATAATGAACTCTGGATTGTAAATTAACAATAAAAAATAGTCATACTTTTAATGAGACGGATGTACTTGATGAATTGACAGCAAATTATGAATATTTGGCTTCAGTTTTGTAAGAAGTAATCTCAAATCTCCCCGTTCTGTGATGTTCAATCTGCTCCTTTTTTTGTTAACAGGTTGGTAACGGCACTAAAACTTCTTTCGACAAGATATGACGAGAGAAACGCTATCAAAAATTTTCTCGCATTTTCCCACAACCCAGGATATTTTTCGGGGATTTCTGCCTGCAGTCAAAATGTTTGATATTCTTTTTTTAATTTCACCTTCAGTTCCTAGTTGGTGCTGAGCTCAAGTAGCTCCTTTTGTAATACCACATTCGCCTCTTCCGTTTCATCAAATGGGATTATGATCCATGGTGGTATTTCCATCGTCAGAATATCTTCAAATCTATTTTTGAAGTCATCATGCAGGGTATTTAAATGCGAGCGGGCGCACGGGCGGCACTTTGCAAGTCTCGACATGTGGTGTACACTTGTACTATTATCTATTGTTCTATTCAATTCTGTGTTTGAACTGAGTCTCGAATATTTTTGAGTACATACCTAGTGAATGATGCTACCTGCCTACGCTGATAGGTAAATCCAAGCCAAAATTTTTGTTCTTTATTATGAAAACCAGAAAATTTTTCGTGGACCCCCACTTACAACTTGTGAACCCCTGTTTTCTTTTCACGTCTAC